TCCCTGGAGAGAGATTGCTGTGCTGAAACATGGCCTATGATTTTGTTCCTAGGTGTATTGCCTCTACCTTTGCCCATGTAAAAACACATATTGTTTGCTGGCGTACAGCTTGCCGAGTGAACCTGATCTCTATGCCTGTGACCTGTCCTATCGATCATTACCTCTTCCAGTCCTTGCTTCATCTGCAAATTCTTGTCAGCCATGAGTTTGTTTTCTTCCAGATCACTGAATTAAAATGTTAAATAGGATAGGACTAAGAACCGATCTTTGCAGGATCCCACTAGAAACACACATTGTTGATTATTCCTATTTACAGTTTTATTTTTGAGACCTGTTACTTGGCCAGTTTTTAACTTATTTGATATGTGCCATATGAATGATGTGTTTTAGTTTCTTAATCAAATGTCACATAGCACTAAGTCAAATGCCATACAGATGTCTGTGTTACGTCTTCAATATTACTTCACCAAACAGGTTTAATCTAAAAAAAGTTATCAAATTAGTTTGATGGGATCTTTTCCATGGACCAACATTGTTTGGCATTAATTATATTTCCCTCTTTTAGTTCTTCATTAATCAAACTTCATATAAACTATCCCACTGTTTTGCTCAGGATCAATGCCCATGATGACCCTATAACTACCTGGGTTGCCTCCTTTACCCTTAGCTGTCTTCCAGTTCTCTGGAACTTCCTCAGGAGTCTAAGATGTGTTGAAAATCAGTGTTAATGGTCCAGGAGCTGCTGGGTGCTGGAAAGTATGGGAAACCTGGCTACTTAACTAGGTGGCTGAATGGCATCTGAACTCTTCAAAATTTGACCTGATCTTTCTTTGAAATATAACATATTGCAGTTAGCAAATACAAAACCTTTTTAGCAGGATAAATTACACAGAACCCCATTACTTCAGCTCCAAGTAAGATCTGAGAGGAAGCTAGAACATTTTCAGCTTTTATCTTTGTGAATTATTTATTGTATCGGCCTTTAAAAGTTAATAGGTTATAAGTCTGACACAAAATCCCATCCTCCTCTTAACTGACTTTATGCACTTGTATTGCTCTCTTCATAAATTCACTGAGGTGAGGCCTTAAACTTTTGAGGCCTGATACTTACCTTGACTGAATACCTATAGCTGTTGCTGGTACCAGAGGAAACTGAGGTTGGGCGGGGGGGGGGAACACGGGACGGGCTCTTGGCCTCAAAAAAATCAGGTTCCTAAACAGTTAACTGTCTTCAGAAAACGTACAGATTATGTAATGGAATGAATAATGATCAAATGATCCAGTAATATGCAAAGTTCAGGCTGGATCATGATTCTCTCTACAATTTGGAACAATATAGGAGCTAACTGATACCAGGTAGAAAATAAACAATGGTGCCAATATGATGATAAGTAATGTTACGTCTCCTTTTAGCTTTTGTTACCTCAAGGCTATTTTATTGCTTTCTTAATTAGCAAAACTAATTTTTATTGTTTTTCCCTTCTAACTTATTTTCACGCTTTTGGGTGCAAAGCTCTTTTTCAAGACACGTCCATATTTCTCTCGTGTTTCCTTTAATTTTTAGAGAGCCATTTCTCCAAGACCAAAGCTGGCACTAACTGGGCATCTATATGGCAGTCTCAGATGAGAGGGCAAGGTCAGAGTGGGTCATGAAAGAACTCACTAGTAGAGTTCAGGACAGGATTGGGAAACTTGGCTAGGATGGGAAGTGGAACCTTGGACAGCTGCTGCTCATGTCCTGCAGTACTTGCTGTGCTTAAATAAGATAGCTTATATTATTTGTCTGATACCCTTCACCATCTCCACCAAGATGCATACTATATATATAAAATTTCTGATTTTCCTGTGCTGTGATCTGGTTAGATCCTGCTCAAAGGGACTGAGCCAGGGTAATACTTAAGTGGGAGCCATCCAAGGAAAACCTAGCTGCTGTAGGTGGTATTGGCAATTCAGAAGGTGGAACTTTTCCCTCTGAGTCAGTGCTGAATTGGTACTGTGTTGTGTTGTGTTGTTGGGAACCCCTGTGATAGAAGGGCTTGTCTTTTGAACAGGATATGAAAGCAAGTTCTTGAGCACTTCTGGTCACAAGGGGGCCCATGGAGCTTTTCAAAAAGTAGGGTAGTATACTGGCCAAACTCCAGCTCTGGTAATTACATTCTGCCAATTTGTACTGTGCCATTGTGCTACATTTCGCCGTTGGACAAAGCGATCCCTACACATTTTGCTTTTTTACCAGTTGGATCCCAAGACGTTTTACAAGCTTCATCACAGTGAATGGTGCTATAGAAACATCACCTTTTCCTTTGCAGATCATTCCTAGCAGCCACATGTTTTTAATGAATTCACTGTTGCATTCTTCCTGGGTGCCAACTCTCTGATTGCTGGGTCTGTCATTTGAATATTTCTGGCATATAGGATACAATGGAAGTGTATTTTCCCTTTATGTGACATTGAAATCATTTACAGTATTTTTTTCCCTCCCTGACCTCTCCTACTCTTTATCTTGTACCTTGATTTTATTACTCGTATGCCACACTTGCTTTGTAACTCCACAAGTTTTCTGGAGAAGATTATTGTATTTCACTGGACTAGGAACATTGTTTCAGGTCCCTATTTGGAAGACCTTATATTAACTAGTATTTAAACAACCCTGTTCCTCTACTTTAAATGTAGACAAAAACTACCTTTTGTCTTCATCCTGGGTCATTTTGATCATGTGTTCTGTGTTTTCTAAAGTATCTAGATCAATTCTAAAAGATTTTTTGCCTTTAATTTTATAACCATTTAGCATTCAACCAATCCTCAATGCACAGATCGTATATATTTACTCACATAATAGCTGTTCTTTCCCCCAATATTTTGCCGCCAAAACTAGGGTAAAGTCATTATATGCATCCTAGAACAAGCCTGAGGAGGTATTGGTACTAAATGAAAGTTGTAATTCTGTGCTCAAATATCCATCTGTCCATCCTCATCTTGCACGATCTGACCCATGGAGCGGAACTAATATACCACGTGATGTCAGTTTCTCAGTTAATTCTTCAACAAATACTATCTTTTCAGAGAAATGCCTTTTGAATCTGTTTCTTTAGAAATGTGGGTGCAGCCACCACAGAAGGGTATGCTCTTTTTCAGATGGGGGGAAAAAACTGACCGTGACACAAATGCAGTTCTCACATGAGTAAATAGAGTAAACTGTCACTCACAACCTAACAGGAAAAGTCACTTAAGGATTTAAAATTCCTTTGCCCTTACTGAGATCAAAGACCTGTAATTAGAGGCTGAGAGCTGACACATACAAAGCAGTAAAAGCAATTGATAAGAAGCTTGCATGTGAATGGAAAATTATCACAGCCTTTAAAAGAGATTAGCTGAGGGAACAAAACGGAGCGCCATAAGGATCAAATATGACAAAATCAAACTTGTAGAGTCTTATGTTTCAGCAACGGACTTTATTTTGGGGATAACTTGATTCTAAGTTAATTTCATCTGTTGATTTTTTTCCCCACGTTGCTTTTAGGAGCTAGAGCAGTGATTCTCAACCAGGGCACTGGGGCTGCCTTTAGATCCTTTCAAGGTTGTTGCAGGCTGTCACACGATGTTAGCATTGCTAGGTGTGCAGATATAATTCACAAGATTAACGTGGAGATTTCAAAGAAGAATCCATAGTGTTAAAAACATTTCTGATCTATGGTCTTTTTGAGTTCTTTGCAACTGAATTGCTCTATTTATTTCCATAGTTGAAAAATGAGTAAAAACAGCTGGCATTTTTCAAGGGGTGCCTTGAGTCTTAAGAGGTTAAGAACCACTGAGCTAGAGCATAATTGGCCCCTGAAGTCTTGTTTTAAGGCACTTTTATAAATAACCTTCTTTTTTTAACAGATTGTATCTTAATGAGAACTATTAATGGAATAAGCAAAGCAGTTCCTGAGGAATTTTACTGGTGTTTGTATTATACCCCTTGTCCTAATGGATCCCCAAGTGCCTTACAAATAGCATATAGCATGTCTACCCCAAAGTGCTAGCTTCTTGCAGTGGCATAGTGGGAGATATTGCAGCACATAGCAACTCATTTCTAAGCCAGACGCCCCATGGCAGTGCTGCTGAGCCCAGGGAGCTTTCAGGCCTAACATTTGCTCCATGAATTTATTCAGAGTTGAGGTTGAGGAGACCATGCATGTGCCCTGCGTGTTGATGCATGTCTAGCAGCAGCATCATAACACAAGTGAGGGAATGGCAGAAGGAGGGGATGCCGGTGCTCCGCCCATCCGTCTGTGGGTGCGACGGGTAGGCGTTTACTGCGATGAACGCCGAAAAACATGGCTTGTGGCTGTGGCAGAGGCAAGTGTCTTTCAAGCTTCCCAGTGACCGTACCTTTGTTGTGGTAGATGCCATTACTGGATTACTAATAACTGCCTGCTTTTGTTTTGTGTACTTTCCCCTAGGAAGAGGGTACGCTGAGGGCCCGGATCCGAAGAGTTCAGGTTCCCCTGGGTGAGGCGCTGCGGCCCAGCCAGCTCCCCCCATCCCAGCTGCCTCATATGTGGCAGCTGTCCCTGAGTGAGCAGTACAGGGATAGTAACTCTCGCATTTGGGAGATAGAGCACCATCTAATGGTAAGGATGGTGGCAAAACTGAAAGCTTAGTCATTCAAGTTTGGGAAGTGATATGAGGTTCTTAAGGGAAGGTGCTAGGACAAGGGAAAGTGTTCTTATAAACATTTCATTGCACTTTATTACTCTTGGCTACAGTGGTTTATATGCATTGAACTTTTCCTGGTTGCTTCCAGATTGGGGGAGTTGAAGAGCTGCTGCTTAGACTTATGCCTGGTGATTAATCTGGTAAGTGTCTGAGATTTCCATTCTTTCTTACTCTTCCCCCCTGTGTGTGCTAGTTCTTTAATATTGATTTTTGTCTTTCAGGAGTGGTTACTCTAGGAAGATGCCCTTGTATATTTTATACAATATATGGTTCTCCCACTACTGAACTGCAGCCACCTCTGAGGTGGAAGCTGTTTAACAACATACAGCAACACCACACAAGATCTTAGAACAGGCAGTGAAGAAGAAGATTGTGGAACTACAGGGGGAGCTTTAGGTAGGCAGAATGCAATTCCCTCAGCTGGAGTTTGGCCAGGATGTTGGGGATAATGCTCCAGTTGCTTTGAACCGTGCAATAGGCTAATTTATGACGATGAGTGGTAAGAAGTGTGGCTTGATATCATACTTGGGAAGCAGCACCTCTAGCAGCACACCATCCCCTAGTCCTGTGCAGGCCTGTTGACTAAGCTCTGGCTCAGAGGGAAAATTGAGGCCCCCAGTGCTACTTTCCACAGCATCTGTGTTTTCCATAGACGTGGTTTCTCAAGCTAATAAATCTCACCCAGCTCTGCTTCTCTTTTTGATCTCTAGGAAGATTAGAACTCAAGGGGTCTTGCTGCAGAAAGGTTACATTGGGTGTCTAAAATCCTGCCTGAAAGGGGTTTGAGGAGCGGTTTGGGGTTTGTTTGTTTGTTTGTTTTTGGGGGGGGGGGATTGGTAGATAGCTTTCATCTCCAAGATTCTTTCTAAAAATTGTGCTGTTCTTACAGGACCTACACAAACTGCTTTTATTTTTTAAATTCCTTCTCCAGATCCAGTGGTAGGACAAATACTAGCTGTGCAGACCATCTCAGAAATGCTAGTACTTAAAGAACTGTATTAGTATAATAGGGTCTAAAAGCAGTGAACTATTTTTAAAAAAACACAGCCACATTTATTAGATTTGTGGGGTCCAACTTTTTTGGCAGGTGTGCTACAAGGTAAGCCCTGCACCCTCCCTGAGTGCCACTCTGATCCCCTTTCCCCACCTGCTCTGCTTTCTGCTTCCTGCCCTATACTCTCTGCCTGATCTGTTGCTTGGCTTTCTGCTTTGTGCCCGTTCTGACCCTGTGTTCCCTCCCCAGTCTGCTGTGTGCCACACACACCGGTGGCTCATGCCATTTATAGCATCTGTGTCACCGGTTAGCCACTCCTGCATTAGAATCTGCCTTCAGAATCTGATTGGGCAGGTATTCGGTATTTTCAAAATGTGTGGAAACCTTCCTCCATCCCTCCCCCAAAAAGAAAAACAAAAAACCCCTACTCCTAGTTCTGATCAAGAAAAAGAAAAAGATATTCATGTTTTACAAGATTAAAGCTTCAAGATCTCGTTGTCCCCTTTTCATTCCTTGGCTAATGTTAGGCATTCACAATGATACTCCAGTACTGAAAGCATGTTTAAAATATTATTACGCCCTGGGCATCTGAGGGACAGGAGTGCTGTGAAGAGACTGTGCTGAGATTGTGAAGGTGAAGGATTCTTTGTATATCTCTGCAGTAGCTGCAAGGCTGCAAAAGACTGGCTCTGAACTGGGGCCCATCCAGCTGTCTACAGTGGCAATGGCATACAGGCAGGGAAAAGAAGCTCCAGAGAGTCCTAGACTCAGACAGTAACATGCTCACTCTATAGAGAAAGCCTTAGCCCCCTACTCTTTCTACAGTAACATTTTCCTATCATTTTAGTTCTCTGGAAATGCCCCAGAAGGATCCTTGCCAGAAACAAGCCTGTGAAATACAGAAATGCTTGCAAGGTACCATGTGTAATTTTGTCCTTTTGATGTCATTTCCCCCCCTTTTTAAAAATGTAACCCCATTTTTTTTTCTTACCAAGATGGTGAAATCAAAAAACAGTACCATGACCTAGCTGAAAATGAAATGTAGTTAAGATATTGACTTTGAATACCTTTTTTTACATTTGATTTTATGTATGGAGATGCCACAAATTGAAAAGAGTGTTTATAACAATAGAGGTTCTCCACATGTGAAGGTAACTATATAAAGTGGAGAAAGCGAGAACACATGATGTGGTAGTATGAGCTTGTCTTAGCATGAGTTTGGGATGGATGTATTACTTTCACAAAGCACAAAAAAAGCCCAGTGACTTGCTAAAGGACCTTGAAGAGGTCAAATAAATTATTCTTCCTGTGCCTGGATGGCTTGGTGACAAGAAAAGACCTTAATCTCTGGCCATTCATATTATCCTTATGAAGAATGTCCTGAACTATTGAAAATAACAAGTATATTAAGGTCTGTCCCCACTGTGATTAAGTTTGCTTTACTATGTGCTTCAGGAATGTCAGAACTACTAAAAAAAAAAATCTGGCCCAGCCTGGTAGTGGTTACCTTGTAGCTACAGTTGGAAGGTAGATTAAGGATGTCTGTACTGAATGAAAAACTTGGTTCTGTCAGCTATGAGGCTGCTCTTGTAGGTGAGTCTTAGGGTGGAGATTCAAGTACAGGGATGGCTTTGCAATTCCTGCTACTTTACACTAACAACTGCAAAACTAATGTTCCAAGACTCTTAAGGTTAGGTTGAGGCTATGCTGGAGATAATGCTGACCTCTAGTGGTTATTCCAAAAACTGGCAGTAAAAAAATCTCATTCTCATTGATAGATGGTGTAGGCAAAAGCAGAGGATCAAAACCAGTAAGACTCCAGTCAGTGCTTGGTTTGTGGTAGGTGTTTGTCAGACTGTCCCTCATGTTGTGAAAGTTGTGAAGAGTAGCAGTGACTGAGGCAACAAAACCATTCAAGTACCCTTAACCTCCACTTAATTAGATTTTCAAACCCACGTGTGTTCCAGGTGCTTTGTGTGTACATAACTGTTTCACAGTCTCCCTCTTGGCTTTGTTGAGGGGCTACGTGGCCATGTCCAGAAGTCTCTTGGTGTTAACTGTTGCCGTAAAGTACTGTTTGACTCCCTAGCTGCCATGAGTATAATCTTCACAGCACTGCTTGAGGCATTCCAAACTGCCAATCCTTGGCTTGGTGTACAAATCTGGTCAAATGGGGGATTTGACACATTCTTCATGCTAGGTGAAAATGGGTTAAGAGGCAAGTCCAAAATCTATGGTTGCTTTTATTATGTAGAAATAGCTGTAGAGCATGCAGTAAAAGCAGCAGTAAAATGTGTCATTGGTGGAGCATCTTGGAAATCCAGATGAAGGCATGGGGAAATTTAACTTTCTTCCCAATGGACAGTTGCAGAGGACCACAGGCTGACATCCTTCCCTTATAGGGAGGTTGTTTACAGGCAGGTGATACTGAGCTGTAGGTATTTTGAGCTCATTGGGACTCACTGGTCTTCTTGCTTTCCCAAAGCCTGAGAGAGCCATAGATGTGAACAAGAACAAACTGGGCAAGACGCCTTCTAGAGAAGCTGGAAGGGATGCTCCCTCATAAAAGGATGCATCAGAGAACTGGTCTCATTTTGTCAGTTTGCCCTGTGACAAGAGTGGTGAGGAGATGACTGCCCTCATCAGCTATGAGGGTTACCTTGACAGCATTCAGTAGTTTCAGGTGGTACAAAATGCAGAAGCATCTCCATGCCTTTCTACCTCCTCACTGGTTACTTCTGTTCTTATATTTTGCTTATAAACTCAGTCCAGGAATTCATACCACAGAGGTCATACATGAGTGGCTTGCTTTTGTACCAGAAAGATTTTGAGGACTTATTTTGGACTCTCCAAAGTTGACCTTGTCTCTCCCACACGAGGTCACTGTTCGTTTCGTTTTAGGTTTTAAAAACCTTTCACCACTGGCTACCTCAGATCTTTGAAGGCAGATGAAAGGAACCGTGAGGGGACACTGAGCCTCCTGGCCTGGTATGCCTCCTGCAAGTAGGGAAGTTGTTAGTAGTAGCACCAGTGTCCAACTGACAGCAAGATCTGCTTAGCTATGCAGGGAATTGCAACACTGTTTTCACTAACTGATTTGGACAGTCAGCCTTGTAAAGTACCATGGGATGTTACAGCATCAAACAGCTGTGCTGCCAAGGGATGTAAAGAGAAAGGGTGGGTGGCATTGGATAAACTTCTGAGGTTGTGATTGCTCAGCACTGGGGCATTATGGCTTCCATGAAAGCCACAGCTGGCAATGTTTTTTGTAGTCTGAGATCCGGCAAACTGGAAAGGAAGCAGAGGTCCGCATGCCTGCACATAGGCACTGCGTATGATCCAAGAGCTGTATCTGTGCTTGAACAAAGAAGGTAGGTAACCATCAGGCACCTTGGATCTTATTGATGGTGCTCTGAGAAAAGCTTTCATGTGGGGTGCTGTTGGGAGCACAGGGCCTCACGCTTTGCTGTCGATGAGCAGGACTTCTTGCTGGAGAGTGCCGAGACTGGGTCCCTTTTAGAGTTTTCAAAGAGGCTTTTTGAACTAATGTGACTGAAACAAACCAAGCATCTCTTCACTTGCGTCATAGTCTCTGTCCGATGTTTATGCTCACAGCATTTACGGGTGATGCTGCAAAGGAATGGAGAAAAGACTCATGGGTCAAAATGTCGAAGTGCAAGGCCAGCAAAAGGGAGCAGGGAGGAGGGGCAGGCTTATGCTAATAAGTGTGAAGTTCTCCAGCTACTTATATAAGTGATAGATACAACACTAAGGGACAGCATGTGCAATCATCTGTATTTCCCTTCTCTGAAGCAAGCTATTTTCACCTTATTTTCTTACATATGTCCAAGCAGTATTGACTGTGGCAGAGCAGGTGTGGGAACCATGTGGGGAAACAGCCACAAGATAACGTAACTCAGAAGCAGCAATCCACAGGGAGAAAGAACTTAATGACTGGGTGAGATGGCCCCCATATGGGTGGTTTGTGGCCTAGGGTAGGATCAGCATCTCCCTTCTCTTATTTTTCAGCCAACAACTATATGGCGTCTAAATGCGAGGCTGTGCTCCACGAGATGCGAAGGTGCTGCGCCCGGTACCCCAAAGGCAGATCCATCTGCTGTTCAGGGTTTGAGAAAGAGGAAGCAGAGGGGGAGAAATTGAAAGTGGCTTCAGATGAAATTCGCACAGCACAGCAGTGAAAAACTGCAGCTCCATCTCTGGCAGGTTATGGTGCGTGGGCCTGCAAGTGACAAATACAAATAAACCTTCCAAGCTAAATGATGTTTGTTGAGGCTGGAGTGGAAGCTACTTCAAGGAATACAGCTGATAATGCTTTCTCCTGATTTATAAAGAAATAAGAGCCAGTCAC